GTTCCAACCGAACTGGTTGGAACGGGGCGAGAAACCCACCCCTGCTGTGTACTATGCTTAATATATCTGTGTAATGTAAGCAAATATATTCTTACAGTAAGTTCTCCAGCAGTGCCAACATGTACGAAGATAAAGAAGAGTATTTGTAGCTGAGGTTAAAATGAGGGTGCTTGATGCTTTCTGAGGTGCTCTGATAATGTTGCCTAGTTTGGGTAATGAAACATCGGCAAAAAAACAACCAAGTTCATAGAAAGTTCACAGCAAGAGACCTCAGAGACCTCTCAGGATGAAAAAATAAGGTTCTTCTTTTTCCTTTTTCATATGATTTTTTTTTTAAACTAAAAGATAAGGATTTACATGGAACGATGGAATTTTGAACAATTTCATGACAGATATTTATTCAAATAAACTTTTATTTTGTAGGCATCGGAAGAAACACTGTACCATCAAAATGAAGAAGAAATGGCTCTCCAAGGAACGGACCAGTATCGTGTTAGGAGGTTATCCTGTCGTAACCTTCAGCTTCCTCCTTTGGCATTTAGACAGCTGGAGCAGTTAGACTGGGAGAAAAAAGCTGATCCAGAGATGGTGCAGAGGCCCACCAACCTTCCACTGAGAACTCTTCCTCTCATTGCTATTACTGCTGCGGACACTGTCAGGTAAACATGGAAATCTACTTCTTGTCTCTTATGATGGCTGAGGTACAGTGTTTCAACAGCTAGGTTTCTGATTGCATGTGATAAAAAGACTTTTGACTCTTAATCGTGAAGTAAATTAAGACAGCTCGCCTCCAATGAAAGGCACATTTAGAATATTGTAGGCTAATATAACAATGGTCTTAATTTTACTAAATTAACTAGTAATTTTGACAAGAGTGGTAGTAAAGAGAAGCAAAAATGCAGGGTTTTAAAGAAATCAAAACAAAACACCGTATAGTTTATGCCACAGAGTTGTCTAGTTAATGCCAAGAACAAACTATAGGAATACATTGAGTGAAACTATTTCTTTGCCTTCCCTCTGCACCAATGCTTTATTGTCTATATACTGTATATAAAAATGGCTGTATGTGTGTGTGTATATTCCAGCATAACTCTGGAGCCCCGCAAGCAATTTCAACCAAACTTGGTACACAGATGACTTATTCTCTGGAGAAAAATACTGTGGGGGGTAGACACCCCTAACTCCCCTCGGGATGTATGTTCTGTTAAGATGCAGCCTGTTGTGCCATATTGTCGTACTGGCTTCTACTGTACAGGGCAGTGGAGTTGCCATGGTAATGGCTTCACAAGAGGGCTCGATCTGGTAAGCGAGAAAATCCAGCATTAGAAATTATGTTTGGTTTGGAAATTCCCCCCCTATAAATAAATACCGGGGAAACACCGGGTTATCGGCTAGTATAGTATAAAACAAGAGCATTTGATCCCAAAATCTTATTGAACTCCAATTCCACATATCCTTGGTTAGCATAGCCAAAGTTTAGGAGCACCGAGTTTTATAACTCAACAGTTCTTAAAAGTACATTTATCTTATTTGGAACAAAGTCTGTAGTTTTGAAAGCCACATGGTCCATTTTTCTAGAACTGTACCATTTAAAATGCTTAAATGCTCTTCCCTAACAAAATTAAGTCAGCTATATCCATGACTCTTAAATCATCACTTCATATTGGCACATAATATGCTTCTTGAAAGTAACAGAGTAGTCTCTATATGATGCCTGAGTGGCTGGGATTACTGTAGATGAAGGGAACATTGCTGACAGAGAGATAAGGACCAAGATTATCCATCATAGAGAGAACTGCCATATACATTCATCTGTACTGTTGAAGTTAGCCTAATATTACATAGCTTGCAAAATGCATATGACTGGGCAGATGATGGGTAGAGGAAATGACACATTTTTCAATTTCTGTCCACAAGACTGGTTGTGAGTCCTATTGTTGAATTGATCTGATAAATGGGAATTTTTATAGCTGTGGCCAAGACACAGAGTCACATCCTCTTTTTGTTAAGATCAATACACCTTCTTGATGTTTGGTGGGGGAAGAAAGAGGAAGCATCAGCGCACAATACTACAACCAAGTTACAGATGAAGGAGCTTAAATATGAAAATATACATCCAAGAAGTTTGGCTTGGTGATTTTACATATGGGATCACTCCAGCTAATGAGTAGAATTAGCAAAATGCCAAAGGAAATATCGTAGATTAATGCAAGAAAAATATGAACTCAACTGATAAGTGAGCAAAAAGTAGTATCACATTTTGAAAAAAGGAATGCACTGCACATATAAAATTAGAACGTTCCTCCAAGGAAGTCAAAAGAGCTTACAATTAAAAGGGGATATGCTGATTATCACAGGTGTGTTGGGAGAGGTGACGCATGCAAAGAATCTCACAGCATGTGGATCTTTGTCACATGTCACAGAAAATGTCACTGTCCATCTTCCTGCATAACATAAATTGTGTGTTTAGTCACTGTTCCTAATTTAGTTTTGATTTTTTTTTGGAAGTATGTTTACATCTGAAGTCAGAAAATAATCTACACCTACGTATATGCTATAGTATATTGATGCTAGGCTGAAATGGAAAAGAACCATGACTGTCACATTGATAACTTTTTTAAAAAGCCAAGGTGGCGCAGTGGTTAAATGCAGCACTGCAGGCTACTGCTAGATCAGCAGGTCAGCGGTTCAAATC